CGGGAGCAAAGCAAACACAAACATCAAAAACATCATGGGTAGATCAGGTATAATGCAAGAGTGAGCATACTAAGACGACCGGTAGTTTGTGAACCTTGTCAGGATTAGGAGAAAAAACAGGAAACTTCGTCAACAATTCGTTGTGTGAATAATGGCGTTACAAAATTTTTTATTTAATGCTAGTAAGCATTTTACAAAATAATAGGTTGTATTTGATGACAAGGTCATCGTATCGACACTTTTTCACTCAGCATTTGTTATCTACAAAAAAAACAATCTGCTACCTCTCTCAGTAATATAAGATTATTATTTTTCATCTTTACTGTATTTCATTTGTTTTCTAGATCTTTCCATTAAACCTAGGCCATTTGGTAACATTGTCAATTTTTTTTTATATTTTACTCCCATGCACCAAATATCATCCTTTTCTTATAGAAGCAAGTATCTTACCTTGTTCGCATTTTGAAATATTTGCAGTATATTTACAATATATTTAAATAAATATAGATCACAGTTTTCACCGTAAAATGTTTACCGGCATGGTAACTTATGATCAGTCGCTCTCTATACCTTAAGGGTCATGAGTTAGAACCCCCAACTATTTTAAAGTCGATAAAAAATGGTTAGCAACTGTTACTTTGCCATGCTCTAAGCAGTATAAGATGAAAGTGTCAGGTATGTCTGACGAGACCTTAAAGGGCACAACCCTTTGTAAATAGAGCTGAAAGTTTCCAATTTCTAAAATACGAACACTATTCACGGTTTTCTTTATCAGTCTTTCCTCATTGAAATTTCTGAGTAGCCAATTATATGTAATTCTATCAAATCTAATATAATAGAAGTTTTATATTCTACTTTTTTGCCTATACTTTTTACATTGTTTTATCATATATTCATTAACAAAAAATAAATAAATAAATAAAAATAATAAAAAAAAAAATCAAGTATTAAAAGCCTTATTAATTCATTAAATTTTATCTTTTTAAAAGATCGCTTTTTAAAAATAGTTTGTTTCAAGTTCCAACTACAGAATTTTATTTGTATTACAATTCTTTTTCTTTGAAGGAAATATTTAGAAAAAAAAAATAATTCTGTCCTTTTTTTTTTCTTACAACAACTTAGAACATTGTAAAATTTTGACTTGAGAACTATCGGTATATTATGTTTTTTAAATGTTTTTTTTTTAGATATGATTTTATTACGTAGGATACTAAATGTTATTTTCACAAATATTCCTGAAAAAATAAGAAGCGCTTCATACCTCAATTTCCAGAAAAAAGAAAGAACAAATATACGCATTGGGCTATATTGTGCTCTAAATGCGAGGGCCGCTCAAAAATTATGCGGACTTGTTGCACAGAAAAAAATTGACGACTTAATCGGTCAAAATGTCACACACAAGTTAAAAGAATTTTTACTTTTATTATCTTCAAAATTTCATATTAAAATGTTGTAAATTGGTATCAATTTTGAGTGATTTTTCAGGACATATCATTGAGTCACGGAGCAGCAAAATCTTCTACGTCATAGGCATTATAGGCATTACAAAAAATGTGATTGAGCTTTCATTTTCTCAACATTTTTGCAAGAGTACCAGTACAATTTGAGTTACCTTATCAACTCAACATCCAAACACCATTTCTTGTGAAGCTTAAAATCTATTAATCAAGTAAAAAAAAAATTCTTTTTTTGTTTTAAAACAAAAAAAATTGCAGGTATTTATGAGACATAGTGTGATATTGGTGACTCTCAATCATGTTCTTTACAGTACGGATAAAGTTTTCGTCGATAATCATCTTCCCGTCCTACTGTATAGCAATTTTACAGTAGTCTAACGGTCTAAAATTTCAAAAAAGATACATTTGAGAAAATTGTCGAAAAATATTGCGAATTATAGAAAATAAATAAGTTTTCTTTTGGACTGTGCATGCTTTTGCTTCAAATCTTTTGTCGTGCTCTGTACCTCTTTACAAGCGATATCAACATACCGATTATTTAAGTAAAAATACTTTAAAATACAAAATTTTGCCCAAAATCTATTGATTATTTACGATACATATTTCTGGGAAATTTCATAACTATATGACGTATGTAAGAGTAAATAATAGCACAGTCCGCGTTATTTTTGAACTGCCCTCGTATATGTTCTTAAATGTAACATGTATAAAATTGGCTTCATTTAACCCTTTCTCAGAAGCACTTGATTATAAATATTGTTTATATGTTATTAATTTATTTTTCCATAGATATAATACACACATATACTTGTAGTTATTCAATAGTAAAATATTTTTCATTTCGTTTACAAATAGCAATGCCCAAGCAAGGGGGAGATAACTTTCCAGATATTTCATCAGCTTCGTTTTGATTCCGTATCAGAAAAGAGCTTGAAAAGTACGGCTTAATGCACTACTTTCCCTCGTGTTTTCAAACGTTTTGGTGACTTTTCAATGAAGTTTGAGATGCCCCCTAGCATATTTGAAGTATGGCCGGCGCGATTAGTCGTTTTAAAAATAGATTGAAAAATTAAAAAATCTCTAATTTTCATATACGCACGAGTAATGTGTCAAAAGATGCAAAAACAGCTTCCTCTGATATACTACTATAAATGCATATCACTTACAGGCAAGTATTCAACCTTTCTTGTTCGCCACACGAATTTTCTAAGGCCTACTGGAGCAAATTCGGATTGTAGCAGCCAGCCAACACGTGTGTAGAAAAAATGTACACAGTGTGAATTGAACGTCTGATGGTCTGTTTACTTCATTGCCAAGCTGATACAATGTTATATTCTTACTGAAGCATTTTAATAATGAAATTTCGTTCAGAGGCTATTTCGTGCGCGAAAACGAAAGTAGGGTTCATCTCAAAATGAACAAGAATAAATTTCAAGATTGACTTACTTTTGTGAAGAAAACAGTAAAAACTTCATGTATAATCATACTTTGATTTTTATTGATAAGTTTATTTCTTTAGATGACAACACAGAATACGTATCATGAGACATATATAAGCTATTCTGTATAAATAAGGAAAACAAAGGAAGACAACTTTTGCATTTCACATTCTGTGTCATATTTTCTTCTGTGTCTCAACAGTGGCACGAGAAAATTATGAAATTTCAGATAAAATTAACACACAGGTACCTCGGTTATATTTTAAAATTGTTTTGATCTAGTATGCCTGTATTATCTGCTTTTAATTTGCTGATGTACACTCCCTTACCAAAAATATTGCCCTCCTGCAAATATTTGCTGCTAGTCTGCAGCAAACATTGCTGCAAGCTTGCAGCAATGTAGCCAAAGAAAGCATGACAGTCTATACAGCCTTGGTGTTTGCAGCAAGTTAGCGGCAAGTCTGCAGCAAGTTTGCTGCAAACATTTTACCATGCAAATGAGGTTTGCTAGTCTGCAGCAAACATTGGATTTTCCAAATATGGAAACCTTGCTGCAAGCAAACATTGCTGCAAGCCTGCAGCAAACATTGCTGCAATCTTGCGGCAAACATTGCTGCTAACTTGCAGCAAAGATTTTCCTTATGGCTTTGGCACATTCCTGTGTACAAGCAGCAAGGTCGCAGAAAGCTTTTATTCTGACCTAAATCTGTTAATCTTAGAGAAAACCAACCACATGTTTCTGAAATGATGCAATTTTATGAAGTTTCATAGGCTCTCTTTAGGTTCCTAGATAAAGTAGAGCTAAAAACTGTTCGATTGTGAGTGTCTACCGGAAATATTTTTTTTGGAAGAAACTAAAATTAATTATGTTGACTCTTTCTCAATATAAAGAATAAATGAGCTATTCTTAAATGAATATAACAATTAAAATTATTTCATATATTTTATTTGAATAACTCAAAATTAATCACATGTTAATGAACATTTTCAAAAATATTTTTTGGTATTGTATTTTGTACAAGCCTCTGGACTGTACACAGTGTCAAATATCACATAATTACAATTATATAACTCTACTAGGCATAATAACTGCTAATCGAAGATAGTTAAGGTTAATATGTACTAAAGAAGATTTCCACAAAAGCATAGTTGCTTGTCGCCCATATTTTACAGAACATATCTGAGAATAGTATACGGTATTGTTTTTATTTTCATGGTGTATGACATAGTATTTCTAATTTAAATTTTGTACAATAATCATTAATGTTTTTAAAAGAAACTTTATTTTATTTCAGTGTGTGATCCTTTGTGGTATAATAACAAATTTAGATGCAAAATAGATATGTATTTTGTAAGCCAATGTTCGCTAAAGCGTACTGTATTGTACATGTTCTGTTCAATACGGAAGGGAATTTTATTAGTTATGAAAGTATTTCAAATGACTATTTTGTATAGTTACTTTTTACCACATCTGAATTTTGAAGCAAAGCATTTTGAGTGTTTGGTCAAAATATCAAACAATTTTCATATAATGCTAGTTGTAACCAGAATCAAATCAAGCATTTGAATTCTACTCTTCACAGGTTTCTATGATTTGGTTAGCATTTTCAGATTGGATTTTTCAAAAGTCTGGAACAAGAATTATATTTGATGTCAAAACTGTTATTTTTGGTAATCTGGAAAACGGTCACAAAACAATTAATTTGATTATCATATAAGTGAAGAAATATTTATTTTGATCATCAAGAAAAAAACCCCGTTTTAATTGATACGTATTTCAAAATATCGAAATAAATACTATTGTTTAAAAGAAAAATTAAATACATTTTATACAAATAGATGGTCCAAGTGGAAATGTCTTTTTAATATGTCTAGTAGTAACTCTTATTACAATTACTGATTGAATATGCATTGCATATTGCGAAAGTTTAAGTGTATATAAATTTTGTGTATAATTGATGTGTACATCTATTATATATTTTTTCAGAGTTATGTTCTTAGAATGTATTTTTGAAGGGTACCGGTATATATCAAACATGTCGAAAAACAATTTTGATAACAAGAAAATTACTAAATTTATTTCTTTTTTAGGTAGTTGTTTTTTCTTGAGCAACGTAAAATAGATCATATTGCAATGGCATATAAAGTAGATCCCGGTGGTCGTTCCCGTTTTGCAAAACTTGGAATGGCGATAAATGACGAACTTACCCAAAGTTGCAGAGATATTCTTGAAATGGAAGTTCCTCCTGCACTAATATTCAGAAAAGTAAAATCCTCATCGCTTTATCAAAAACTGCGACCTGATCAGGAATTGATTTTAAGAAATGCTGCAAAGTCTGGATACAATGAATTTGATTGCACATTACTGTACATGTTACTAAGAAATATCTGCTCCAATTTTAAAATACCAACTAAGGGCTGGGGTGGTAATGTGATGCCTGCAGCCGGAGATGTAATGGTAGGGGATGACATTGAGAGGATACGCCTCATCCGGAATAATGTTTATGCGCACGCGAGTTCAGCCTTTATTTCCCAAAAAATCTTTGACGAAAATTGGGCTATTATATCCGATGTTTGTAAGAGACTTGAAACTTTTACCGGGAAGAAATACTGTGATGGCCTAAATAAAATTCTGGCACAATCTTTCGACGAAGAAGATGAAGAAAACATAATAGAAAAAATTAAAAGTGATTGTGAAAATGATAAGTCAGTGCGAGATGTATTGTCGTCTCTCTTGGCAATGATGAAAGAATTCAGAGCGGCCAAAAGTTCTAAGAGAGAAGGTAAGCCCCAAAGATGTAAATGAACACTTCTTGTTAAAATATATTTTTCTATGTATTTAAAACAAATTACATAAACGGACACATTCACAAAAATGGAAAAATCAATTTAAGATGGTGTTTGTTTGTTTTTTTTATTTGTGTATAAAAATCCTGTTCTATGACACAAAGAGGAAACTGATACATGCAATCTCCGATATATAAGAAAAACTTCCGCATTTCATAATTAAAAAAAACTTTAAGCTTCTGTTTGCATTTTGGTGTTCTAGATAAATAACATGTTTTTTTTAATCCAGGATCTGTAGAGGTAGTTGTTTTATAATGTAGTCTTCAATCCATGATGAAGTATTGTAAAATGAATAAACTGTCGCGAATCTAAAAGAATTTACTTTGGTTTACTTTGCGTAGTAAATACTAGATATCGCACTGCAGAATAATAGACTATTAAAGTTATAGTTCATATTTATTTATAAAAACTATAACTCGGTAATTCCTGTTAATAATTAATGAAAACCTGCAGAAGAAAATTTAAAACTAGTTTTCTTTGGTCTAACTTTATGAACAGTAAACGTTCTAGGTAGTAACCCTTGGCAAGCAGAACGTAGCCCGTTAATATGTACATGCACATGTAGATATCCAATACGTAAACATTGAAAGTGTTCGACATTGATGAAGAGGTGTTTTAAGTAAGTTATAAGTTTCAAATTGACCATTCTGTCAGATATTAGACTCTTCAATGGGAACACGCCTATGAACGTCTAATATCTGACATAATTAAACGTTTTAGGCTTCGGGGGGGGGGGGATTCCCGGTTTCAAAACTCAACAGCATTGATTTTTTTTATTAATTTTGTTTTAAGAAGAAAAACCTCATATAATCGAGGACCTCCACCTTTGCAAAACGACATGGTGTATTTAACTAAGACGTGCATACTATAGCTTTCAGTCGTTTTAAATTCGGTGAACAAATGCAACCAAAATTTAAAAATGGAAAAGTATTTTCAATTGTTATTTTATTCTGATTTTACAAACACTGATTATTTGTCTATAACACCCTCTATGGCCTTCACTTTTGCTCTGTGACAAAACCATGACATTTTTTAATCATCAAATGCGTATAAAGTAAAGTATCATTGTTGCGTTGAATCACATTTTTTTGCTTTACGACAACGATCAGGAACTGTTTTACATGGCAATGTGCCTAGCTGTATACACAAGAATTCATAGTACAACGTAAGTTTGTTAGAATTCTAGTCTAGTCATTATTTAAAAATTAAACATCGGTATGTAAACATAAAAAAAAACAGATGATTAAAACCGAGGAAATAAGAACATGTTTTCCGTTTATTTTATTTTATTTTTTGTTTGTTATTATAAACAACTAACATTTAAAACAATGATTCATTTCAATTTTTAAATGTAAAATTTACAGTCATCCACTTAATGCAAAATATAACATGATTCACAGTAAGTTTGATCTTTCTTTTCACCATAGTAAAGGTAATTGATCTTGTTTTAATTATTTACAGGACGACGAGTGAAGGTTCTTTCTATAAGATTAAAAGCGAAAGAAATGCAAAATAACAGTCAAGCTATCACATTGAGTAGCATGATAAAAGATACACTCAATCAAATGATGGACGCAATCAACAAAAAGTCAACAGAAGAGGATATTTGTAATCTCCAAAGCAGTTTTGAATTATATATGGATAGTATTTCATGCGATGATGATAAAAAGGCTGCAATGAATTTGCTTGAAAAAATGAAAAAGACAATTCACAAATATGCACGAAAGCACCCAGACAAAAATGTTGCTATTCTCAATAATTTTGTGAGGTTTTTATCCACTCTCCAACAAAAGTACAAGCTAAGTGATGTGCATCTTGAGGATGGAAGTATTCTTTTCCGAATGACATTTGCATCAGAAGATGGGTACAGTAGGTTCAGTGATGATATGAAGAAAGGCATAGTAAACCAATGCTTAATGGATTTTTTCAGTGATCCATACATCCTCTCATTAGTTGGTCTTGCGGAGAAAGACATCGCGATTTCTATTACAGATTTAAACGAAAAAGGTACGTATTCTCATAGATACTCTCTTACTATTCTTTGACCGTGGAAATTTACTCTTCTTTGGTAATTCTAACTGATTCCAAATCTTAATTTTCTGGGTGTCCGTGTTTTCTGCCCTTTTGACTTTTCACAACACATATTCCTTAATGGATTTGAGGATTAATCATTCCCCTATTTCTTACAGTCAGCGTTGAATTTAATGTAGAAATGTTTAACAAGCATTTTACTTTGAATTCAGCATTGATATTTTATGTTAATATGAGATTTTACCCCAAGTAAAACATACATGGCACTGCACCGCGTGGATTCTATCAAAATTAAATTAATGCAGCATGGCAAATTGCTTAAGTGTGATTGGCTAATAAGCAAGAGTTACGGGTTAAATTAAAACTTGGCCAAACGATGTTTACAAACGTAAGACGGATTAGGGTAAAGTAAGTGAAATCTAAATAAACACTGCACATGTCACATAAAAGATATTATTTACAATAATCACTAATTTATATGCTTTTTTTTAATTAGAAAATATTGTAAAATAGTGTCAGCAGTCCTTGCCCAATTCAAATCTTAGAGATATTGTGTAAAATTCTTTGAAAGATCACAAATCTCAAAATGTTTGTGTGCGATGCGTGCGCTGTATGGTTTCTAAAAGAAAAAAATCTATGGAAATTGATGTCTACTGCAACTTTAAAAGGAAAATAGAAGTACTTTGAGCAATGAGATCACTAAATGATACCCCCATATTCTACATGTATATGAATATAATGGCAGTACCCATGTTTTTCTATGGAAAACCCAAAATATATGCCAGATCACACAAGTGCACAATGTCATTATGTAATAAAGATTCTCTGAAAGTCTCATAAAAAATTTCGTTCAATGGTATAAGAGGAATTTATATTAAAAGCAGAAGATGAATAACATTCACCAGATCAGACCTGAAGTTGTGATCCTAATATACACCTACAAGACGAAGCTGTTTTCTTCCTTTGAAATGCTGATTAGTCTTCTTTCTTTTCCTGTATGCTTCCTCTATCACGACAAAAATGCCCTTAAAACAAATGATTCAAATTTGGCAAAAGGAAAAGGTATCAAAAGGATATCAATAAAATGATCTTACAAACAAGCAAAACGTGTGCAAAAAATTATTGTACATTAGAAAAAACCCAAGGACATTTATCAAACAGAACATGAAGACAAAAGAGGTTTTATATAGTTGTACTGTATGACATATAGCAATAGTTTTCATGCATTTACATGATGGCTGCCTATTTATTATGTACACACTCTGCTGTTTTTCTGTCTATCTTCCAATTAAAGAAGACAAAAATGTCTCTAAAGAACGTTTGGTTGGCGAAAATTATTCCTGATTGTTCTTTTCACTTTTTTTGTTTTGTTGACAAGTGAAGGTAAGCTGGGGAAATATGATCCTTCTGGGTAATTTTTCAGATTTTGCATGCTTTTCTTAGAGACAGTTATCAATGTCTTTGAAAGTAGAAATAAAAAAAAAGATTCTGGATCCTTAGTTCAAGCATAACTGTCAACAGCTTTGAATACCAAAACACCTTCAAGCTTAATACTTTTAGTATCCCCAGCAGCAAATATCAAATAAGCCTTGGCTTTTAAACAATTGTAACATGTTTCATCCAAACAATTGTAAAGTAATTGTTCCGTACCTTCAAATTATACAAATAAGCAGATAAACAGACTTTATCTAGGTTGTTCAACTTTTAGATAATGTAGATGAATGAAGCTTCCTTTGAACTTGAAGGATTATGTAAACAATCTCTGTTTCGACTCTTCATTTCGATTTTCCACTCTCTCATGACCTACCAAAATTTCAAAATGTCATGTAAAAATTCAACGACTTAAATAAACCATGGGCTCTGGGCAGATTTGTGCATAGTAATTAGTAATGACCATAAATATTGTTTGTGTTATTAAACTATTTTTCCATAAATATGATACACAAATATACTTGTAGTTATTCAATAGTATGATTTTTTTTATACTTTCTTTTTAAAATTCTATGTATGCTTCATAATTTATACCGAAGAAAAGGGTAAAGAATCTTATTTTAAATGTTATTGTATTAAATCATTTTGAATTGTTTAAGTATGTTGACAATGTCATTATAGAGTGGAAGAAAATCGAATTGCATTCAATAAAGGAAAGAGACATAGCACAACGAAGTGACTCTGAAGATTCTTCGGATGAGGTAAAACATTGCATTCTATCTTTCAATTATCGTTAAGATACGGTTTATTATACTACATGTATAACAGTTATATGTGGAGAGAAAGGTCTTGTGTTTTATAGATTCTCTCCTTTGGGGGGGGGGGTTCAATGTCGAAATTGTTGACACAGAATGACATTCTTTATTTTAATTTTGTGACGACAACTGACATATCAATAAAACCAATAAAATGATTGTATAATATCTCACTATTTACATGGTTATGAAGATGTATTATTGTCAAACAAAGATGTACACATTTTCTTATTTTACATAACAATAGCCTCATTTCCCTCAGATATTAGAATTATCAGTGAGCTAGGATTTTCTGAAGCTCAAAAGACCTGATTTTGTCAAAAAATAGACTGACGTTGCATTACAGAGTCTGAAATACTAAACACTAGACAAGACTGTTTAGGCATCATCTAAGGAAATTTATTTAATATTTTGCCTTTAAAACCCTGTTTCTGATGTATTTTGATATATAAATATGTTACTTTAATTAAAAATCGTGCGCGTAAGAATAAAATCGACATTAAGATGCCACGTTCGCGGCCCATATTAGAGCAGAGTTTTTCTGTCAACTTAAGGGTGAAAAAATGAGTATGATTGTCTGTTGTATGAATATCAGTTTCAGTGATAATGCCTAGACAATAACCGAGGTGGCATGATGAAAGTTCTATCTTGATGTGACGTTGTTACGCGCCATCGTCAGCAGTTGGGGGGTGGTGAAAAGTTTAAAACAATCTGCACAGCAAGATGTTGTTGCCTTTTTATTCACTTATGCAATATTGAATCTAATTACCAGACCCAATGTTACTTCCGTCAGCTACACCATGATTGTAAGAAATTTATACTGACTTCCAATATGCAAAAACGATGTCTGTAACTCTAATGCATCGTTTGACACTACAATACGTGATCACAAAATTACCATCAACAACATGCATGTGTTTTTGACGTTTTATCACTTCCATTACGTGACGCCATACATTTCATTGTTGAGTAGTTTTGACCAGCAATTCTAGTGCAAAGTAACCAAAATACACATCTGACCAATTTTCATAATTTTCGGCCACATATTCAAAAACTTTTTACATATCATGTTCTTATGCGTTTCTTTTTCCTTTCAGTATATTTACCGTAAATTTGCAAATTTTTACGTCGATTTTATTTTGCGAATTCGGGTCAAAATGCTGTTGATTTTTAAGTTTCAAAATTTTGCGAATGACCACTGCTTTGTTTACTTTGCCTATTGGTATTTTTTTTTAAGAAAAATATTTTTGCAAATGCAATTAACTCGCGAATTTGCTAAAAAAAATATATACAACATAATTTTTCAGATTTATGTATAGATTTAAATAATTTGAGGTAGGTTTGAAGCTGTAATACTGTCTTGAATCTCGATAACTGATATTCAATTTTTTGATAATCGATATAAATACCTTATAATTAGTTGAGTACATGTACAAAATGGGAAAATAAATTTGAAATTTTCATCTGAAACTATGTCCATGCCCTTATTACAAATAATGACAAAACAGTTGAGTTTTTATTTAATGGAACACCATACTGGTTTAGGATAACAAAAATTGTTGTAGTTGACAAACCTAGATATATTGCCTTTTTTAAAGAAATTTTTTGGAAATAAAATCTTTAAAATAGTATCGTATTCTTCATATGATGTAAATGTAGTTTTTCATCTTAATGTAGGTGTTGTTGCTTTATTATTTCAGTCATTTGTCGAAACCTCTGCTGGATATCGCAAGTTTGAAGAGGCAAAACAATGTGCTTTGGATATCTTTGATAGTGTTGGGAACCTCCTTTCAAGAGTGGATGATGTTTTTTCTGGTAGGCAATTTAAAAAAAAAGAACATTCATAAATAAAATGCGCATACACATGTATATATATATATGAGAACTAGGGTGGCAAAGGTTGGGGCGATGGGCACAAAAGTTACCCTAACCTATGCCACCCTAGGTCTTGAGTTTTAAAAGAAAAAATTAATTAACGAAGCAGACGGACAACTTGAAAATCAGTTTTCCCAGTACATACACGCTTTAATTTGAAGCGATATTTAAACGATTGTATCATTTTTTGCGTAAAACATTTATTCATTTTTTGTCCATTGCAGCCGTAAACTTAAATCAAGAACATGTCCCTTGATGGTTATAAGTAACTTTTTTCATGGCCAAGACTTACGTTTTTAGTTACTTAAACTTGTATTTTCTATACATTCACATTAATCCCAATGTGGGACGAAGAGACTGGTTTTTTATGGTTTTTAGACTGCTTAAACTGAGATCCCGTGTGTTAGTAGCTAATGGCAGGAAAAATACCCCCCCCCCCCTGTTCAATAGCCCTGAGTGCCGATTATAGGACAAAACTTGCAGCTCCCCACATGCAAGTGGTGGTGCCTTTGTGTGAAAAAATCTTGAAAGGGACCTTTAGTAAAATACAATCATTCAAAGAGATCCATCCTACTGCAAATCCATAATATTTCAAGTCGTCAATTTAAGGATACTGACCAAAGGTGCCCAAAGGACAAAATTTAATTTGCTTGTAATTCTTTAATAATTAAAGATACAGTACCCGCATCGTTGATCTTTACAATTCTATCGTGTCCTATCGTGCGTGTATCCTATCGTATCGTTCGTGTATCCTATCGTACTGTGCGTATATCCTATCGTTTCGTGTTTTCCGTTTATCATGTTTTGTGTTTATCGTGTAGATCGTTTATCAGGTTCTATCGTGTATCGTGTTTTGCGTTTATCGTGTATAGTCGGAAACCCTCGGTTTTTATCTTTTTAATTAGTCAGGGCTACTAGAGAAAAATTTCGGTAAGCCAGGGTGTATGCATACCCAATAGATAAATAAATTAAATTTAATAAATAAATAAATAGATAAATAAATAAATAAATAATAAGAAGGGATTGATATGTCTTTTTTATTCCAATGTTCATTTTTCCTATCCATTGTCTAATAATAATAGTAATGTGTTAACGCCTCTGATATATATACATTTTTGCACGATTTTTTTTCCAAGTCTTGATATTACAAAAATCAAAAATACATAAGACATTGATCAAGATAACTTTAACACCCATTCTATCAGTATACGCTCAATATTTAAATCTATTTATTTTATCACTTTTTAATAAGCTTAATTCCTTGATTATTATAAAATATAATGCCTGAATATGCCTTATCCAATTTATCACACCATAGCAGTTACTATAAAATATTTTTAAATTTTAAAAATAATTCAAAAGGAAAAAACATGATGACTTAGAACAGCTTACCTTTTTCGCTGTAAAAATAAACTGAAAATATTATGCATCTGGGTGTAAAATCGCCTTCCTTACAAGAAAACTGACACGTACATGTAAATGTACCTTTCTCATTACCACACTGTCTTCCTGTGCTGTCAACACCCAACCCCCTTCTCCCATAAAGGACACCCCGACAAGTGTGTGTTCGCCGTCAACATATCTGTACGGCTGTCTCATCTGGTGTCAAATACATGTAGTACCCTTGAATACTGTTTCTAATGAAACGCATCTATATTTTATCGGGTTTCTGTTCATACATGTAACTTGTGTGTAAAACACTCGTTAAAGATTTTATTCCAAATAAATTAATAGATAATTGCACAATTTATGGATTTTAAAAATATTTTACATTTTTTAAAATTTAAATAAAAATTCATATAAATTAATTTAATGAAATAAAGTCCCTAGGCTAAATTTAATCCACTGCTTTATTTTATCTGTACAATGTTACCATGTTCATGTGCATAGGTCTTTTAATAAGCTTTTTAAGAAATACTGCACTTATGGTAAATGAACTTTCGAATCATTGGGTTTTCTGTGTAATACAGACAGAATTAATTCTCAGAAACAATTTCATTGATCGTAGAAAAGATTGAAATAATTCTAACATTCTGAACTATGAAAATTAGCTTGCATTTTGTACGTTAATTTACTGCATGTACTGTACATGTATTAAAAACAAAAAACAAAAGGAGTCCTCTGATTCCGCCGTGATCCTGCAAGACGAGTAAATACAACTAATTAATTTATAGTATTAATCAATTTCATTCCATACTTACAGTAACTTTATAATAAAGAAGTCAATATTATATTTGGCTACTTTGTTAAATCTTGTTTACCAATTTTAAATTGGTCATAGACTTTCAATATCCTGCCCTTCAAATATGCCTCATATGAGAATAAGTCTATAACTATTTTCGTTTTTAGCTCACCTGAGCCGAAGGCTCAAATGAGCTTTTCTGATCACATTTTGTCTGTAGTCCGTCTGTCCGTCTGTCTGTAAACTTTTCATATTTTCGACTTCTTCTCAAGAACAGCTGGTCAAATTTCAACCAAACTTGCCACAAAGCATTCTTAGGTGTAGGGAATTCAAGTTTGTTCAAATGAAGGGCCACGCCCTCATTCAAGGGGAGATAATTGGGAATTGATAAAAATTTGGTGGCATGTTTTAAAAATCTTCTTCTCAAGAATCACTGTGCCAGGAAAGATGACACTTTTGGGGAAACATCCTCAGATAGTGTAGATTCAGGTTTGTTCAAATCATGACCCCCGGGGGTAGGGCGGGGCCATAATGGCCGATCAAAGTTTTACGTAGAAATATATAGGAAAATTCTTTGAAAATCTTCTCCTCAAGAACCACTGGGCCAGGAAAGATGACACTTATGGGGAAGCATCTTCAGGTAAAGTAGATTCACGTTTGTTCAAATCATGACCCCCGGGGGTAGGGCGGGGCCACAATGGCCGACCAAAGTTTTACATAGAAATATATAGGAAAATTCTTCTCTAGAACCACTGTGCCAGAAAAGATGAAACTTCTTTGGAAACATCCTAAGGTAGTGTAGAATCAAGTTTGTTCAATTCATGACCCCCGGGGGTAGGGCTGGGTCAAAATGACCGAGCAAAGTTTTACATAGAATTATATTGGAAAATTTTTTAAAAATCTTCTTCTCAAGAATAGTAAAGCCATAACTGATCATATTTATATAAAAGCATTTTCAGATTGCGTAGATTCATGTTTGTTGAAATCATGACCACCGGGGGTAGGGCGGGGCCTCAGTGGAGACTGAAGTTTTAAATAGAAATATATAGGAAAATTCTTCCAAAAATCTTTTTCTCCAGAATAGAAAAGCCATAATTTATTATATTTATATGGAAGCATCCTCAGATTCCTCAGATAGTGTAGATTCAAGTTTGATGAAATCATTACCCGTGGTGGTAGGTGGGGGGGGGGCAAAATGGCCAACCAAAGTTTTACATAGAACTAAATAGGAAAATTCTTTTAAAATCTTCTTCTCAAGAAAAGCAAAGCTATATTTGATCATATTTATATGGAAGCATCCTCAAGTAGTGTAAATTCAAGTTTGTTTAAGTTATGACCCCCGAGGGTAGGACGGGGCCAAAATTGCCAACCAAAGTCTTACATAGAAATATATAGGAAAATTCTTTTAAAATCTTCTTCTCAAGAATAAAAAGTCATGATTGGTCATGGGACTTTTTTAAGATTTAAACTTTTCAATAATATTAACCAATTTCTATTTTTTTCTAACCACAGTGCTCAGTTGAGCGATGTAGCCCATGGGCCTCTTGATTTTTAATTAATTTGCCGACTCAAACCTATTTTGAATTATTTTAGCATCGGTACACACAAAGTCTAAAAGCAATGATTTAATAATATTTTAGTCGGAAAAAGTCACATTTCAACCTGTTTAAAGAACAAAGTACGGTATTGGCCAAAAAATGCCGCTTGTCAGACCTGCTCGATACAAAACATTTTAAAAACCTTAGAATTTGTAGAATTAAATGATATATAATTTATATACCTGTCTCAAATATATGCATTGCAAAAATAACGCTCAATACTGTACCTTTTATGGCAAAACGTCAAGAATTTACGAAGAATTTTGACGCGACGTCATACATATAACGTGTACAATAAGCGTAATCTGAAGATTTCAACTTATTCGCTAGGACACAGTTTTTATTATATATTGAAGAAATTAAGTTGCTGATTCAATAACACTTTTCTCGTGGATATTTATTTTCAATTTAATTGCAGGTCTCAATAAAAATAATATCAACTATTTCTGTTAAATTAATTGAGAAAAATCTCGTGAAGATTATGTACTGATGGAAAAATTCGAGTGTCCCGGGCTGTTCTTAGTACCAAAAAACTCACTTCTCAAAAATATGGTAAGTAAGGTGCACAAACAGTTGAAAAAACTCGAATGTCAATAAAATTATTATTTAGATCTATTGGAACAATAGCGTGGAAGACTATGATTATCTAATGTACGTATATACAGGAGAATTCCTCCTTCTAATGGTCAATTTTGCTAGTAAAGATATTAAAACATATTAAGAAGAATGCGAGAAATTTCGATCTTGATTTAAAAAAGTATCAGCCTAGTAAACTGTTAATTATATAATGGGTACATGAAAACTGTTTTCTGTGATATATTCATTTATACCTGCTTGGTGACTGAGGAACACTTGAAATTTAAATGCCCCCCTCCCCTTCCCTCCATTATGAGTTGAATTAGTTCATATAATTTATAAATGCCATACAATATATTTTGGTTTTAATAGGACTGTAAAATTATATCTAATAAGACTGAAAATGAATTATCAGTAAATGTTGTGAAATTTTGTTTGGAAGGCGGATTAGATTGGGGGCGAGGGGGGTATACATGTAAATCAAACTTTCGGTTCAGACTGAATATCATAACAGCAGGTATTCTTTCAATTTGCTTTTAAAAAAGTTATAAAACCTGTTCGGAAAATATTTTTGATTTACTATT